CTGCCAGTTTTTTATGTTAAAGCTTGATTTAAACCATTTGGCCACTCACCTGTGCACAGATTCACTGACTCGAGAGTTGAGTATGGCTGTGACAACGACCATCCAACACATCAGACCATCTGCAAGACAGAGAAGAAACATGAGCAAACCACACATGCACATATCATTCAATAAATCCCCTCACATCACCTGCTGCACGAAGAAATACATTTATATGAACAAAAATCAAACCTGAGAATGCAGAGCATATGCTACCTTCCTAGCAAGAAATGAACCAAATTCATTTCCCCTTCACATTCTACTGGAATGACCATATTTCATGTGTAAGATAATTCTTAATGACAATCAGTTGTCAGAAATTAGTACCTGGACTTGATTAGCATATTAATGAGCACCCAACATTCCATGATATGCATCATAAATAGTCCACACCTCCCCAATGAGGTAATAACAATACAGCGTGTAACGTTTCCAACATATTACTTGCATAAATATGACACCATGATGAACATAAGATGAATGATTACATTTGTATGCTATTACCTACTGGGACATTTTGATTACATAATTAATGGTAAAGTCTATTCGAAAACATCAGCAGAATCAGGAGCAGACTGCAACTTTTTTGTTTGATTGTGATGATGAAGCTGCAGTGCACATCTCCACGCCTATGATAGTATGGAAAATCATTCTCATCCAGAACAAAGTCTCAGTGTAATAAAACACATCATTCTATCTCATTGATGATCAACTACAACATCCTGGGTATATCCCTCCCTACTGCCAGACTCCTGGATACATATCCCTCCCTACTAAAGACTCCTGGCTACAGTTACCCCTCCCTACTACAGACTCCTGGCTACAGTTATCCCTCCCTACTACATATTCCTGGCTCCAGTTATCCCTCCCTACTACAGTCTCCTGGCTACAGTTATCCCTCCCTACTACATATTCCTGGCTCCAGTTATCCCTCCCTACTACAGACTCCTGGCTACAGTTATCCCTCCCTACTACAGACTCCTGGCTCCAGTTATCCCTCCCTACTACAGACTCCTGGCTCCAGTTATCCCTCCCTACTACAGACTCCTGGCTACAGTTATCCCTCCTTACTACAGACTCCTGGCCCCAGTTATCCCACCCCACTACAGACTCCTGGCTACAGTTATCCCTCCCTACTACAGACTCCTGGCCCCAATTATCCCACCCTACTACAGACTCCTGGCTACAGTTATCCCTCCCTACTACAGACTCCTGGCCCCAGTTATCCCACCCTACTACAGACTCCTGGCTACAGTTATCCCTCCCTACTACAGACTCCTGGCCCCAGTTATCCCACCCTACTACAGACTCCTGGCTACAGTTATCCCTCCCTACTACAGACTCCTGGCTACAGTTACCCCTCCCTACTACATATTCCTGGCTCCAGTTATCCCTCCCTACTACAGACTCCTGGCCCCAGTTATCCCACCCTACTACAGACTCCTGGCACCAGTTATCCCACCCTACTACAGACTCCTGGCACCAGTTATCCCTCCCTACTACAGACTCCTGGCTACAGTTACCCCTCCCTACTACAGACTCCTGGCTACAGTTATCCCTCCTTACTACAGACTCCTGGCCCCAATTACCCCTCCCTACTACAGACTCCTGGCCCCAGTTATCCCTCCCTACTACAGACTCCTGGCTACAGTTATCCCTCCCTACTACAGACTCCTGGCCCCAGTTATCCCACCCTACTACAGACTCCTGGCACCAGTTATCCCACCCTACTACAGACTCCTGGCACCAGTTATCCCTCCCTACTACAGACTCCTGGCTACAGTTACCCCTCCCTACTACAGACTCCTGGCCCCAGTTATCCCTCCCTACTACAGACTCCTGGCCCCAGTTATCCCACCCTACTACAGACTCCTGGCACCAGTTATCCCACCCTACTACAGACTCCTGGCACCAGTTATCCCTCCCTACTACAGACTCCTGGCTACAGTTACCCCTCCCTACTACAGACTCCTGGCCCCAGTTATCCCTCCCTACTACAGACTCCTGGCTACAGTTTTCCTCCCTACTACAGACTCCTGGCTACAGATATCCCTCCCTACTACAGACTCCTGGCTACAAGTATCCCAATCTAGTACCATGATACACTTATTTCCATCAACCCACCTATACTCCAACCACTGCCCCTACCACCACCACCACACCTCTATCAACACCTTCCCACCTCTATCAACACCATCCCACCCCTACCACCACCACCACACCTCTGTCAACACCTTCCCACTCCTACCACCACCACCACACCTCTATCAACACCATCCCACCCCTACCACCACACCTCTATCAACACCATCCCACCCCTACCACCACCACCACACATGAACACTCTGAGCTCTTTTCCTATTTCTCCTTAACCACTCAACTAGTTACAGTGGCTGAGGAGTATCTATCGATCAAAATCTTTAACTGCATACAGTGTTTATGAATACTGTCAATACAGTTAAGTATGTTTGACTCTGAAAGTTAGTCCACACATGTTAGATGCATACAAAGAAACTCCTGATGCCTGTTGCCACCTCTCCACATGTATTGACTGGCAATCCTATAATATATGCACCAGTAGCAGATCCAGTCGCCCAGACACATATGCAATTGTCAGTTAATTGAACTATGCATTTTCATCACAAAGATTCTGTAAAGCACACACGTGTTGCATGCTATCATTAAAACAATAATTCATACAGGCTCATTGCTTGCGCTGCACAGACAATCGCCAATTACTGGCCAGATCAATTTTTGCACTCCGCACCCTAATATGAAAGTCGCAAGATGAAGGTTAATGCCAGCTGTAGAATGCAGGTTTAGCTGTTGCGGTGAATAAGTACTGGAGTGCAACAATCACCATCACACTGTGATCGAACTGCAGCAGTCTCCCAAATATGTCCATGTTGTGATAAATCCAACAAATGTATTCATAAACACATTCAAAACTGTACACAGGAGCTACTATCTCGTATCAAACAATACAGATCCCTTCACTGCTAGATGGGACAGAGGGGCCTTCCTACTAGCTTAGTTTAAAAACTATTGTTGAGGTTATATTGTTTTATGTCAGGAACATGAGTTTCCATTTTGCTATTCACGCCAACAGTGAATGGTGATGTTGGCTATACACCGCTTCCAGCAATAATTCAGCAATATCACAGAAAGGGGACAGGCTGCCCACTTTCAATCATGGCGAATTGAAAACTGGTCTCCTCTATGAGGGGTAACCAGTATCACCTCTCGGCTACCTGACTACCACTTGGCTACCCTGACCACCTCTCGACTACCCTGACCGCCTCTCAACTAACCTGGCCACCATTTGGCTACCCTGACTGCCTCTTGGCTACTCTGACCACCACTTGGCTACCCTGACCACCTCTCGGCTACTCTGGCCACCTCTCGGCTACCCTGGCCACCTCTTGGCTACCCTGACCACCTCTCGGCTTCCCTGACCACCTCTCGGCTACCCTGACCACCTCTCGGCTACTCTGACCACCTCTCGGCTACCCTGGCCACCTCTTGGCTATCCTGACCACCACTCGGCTACCCTGACCACCACTCGGCTACCCTGACCACCTCTTGGCTACCCTGACCACCTCTCGGTTACCCTGACCACCTCTCGGCTACCCTGACCACCTCATGGCTACCCAGACCACCTCCTGGCTACCCAGACCACCTCCTGGCTACCCAGACCACCTCATGGCTACCCAGACCACCTCCTGGCTACCCAGACCACCTCCTGGCTACCCAGACCACCTCCTGGCTACCCTGACCACCTCATGGCTACCCTGACCACTTCTTGGTTACCTCGACACCCCCTTGTCAATACTGAGCTCTTTGTACAGTGATATCAATAGCTGAAACATGTATCTCATGTCTAATTCTGGGCCAGAACTGTTTTAGAGTAACCTGTTAATACAAGGCTAGTGCTTTTTATTGCTTGAAGCATCTTGTAGCCATGTTTTGCATCCAAATCATAGACAATGCATCAGTCAATTAGTGAGCTGGGTTGAACACGACTTTGAGCAGTATTTCAGTCGGTCTTGATGGCTGAGCCACCTGTGCCCCCATTATACCATGCAGGGATTCAAACTCAGGCTATCAACATCAACTGTGTGAAAAGGGTACAGTCACAAAGCTTCTAGCAGCAAACTCAGAGTGCACCATAGGCTTCAGGCGTATCAACTGAAGCCTGCTTGTGCTGCAACCCCAGTGGAACACTGACACAGAAGTACCCCAAGCATATCATGCTGCTTGTTCCACCTTGAGAATCAGGTGGTCAAAATGTCATCAACTACCTCTAATCACCCTTTGCCTGACAGCATGCATAAATATTATTCTCGGTAATAAGTTATATAACGGTCATGACACCAAGAGTGTGTATCAATGTCAACCAGTTACCTGTGCACATGGTACTGCACATGGTACTACACAGGGCGAGTGAGCAAGCATTGACAGCAGCAGGTACGTGCAGCAGGTGCACACCTGTCAGATCACAGAGAGATTGATGGGTGACTGACAGCAGCTCATTCACAGTGAAGGGATCAATAGCTGTTACAGTATCACACTTGAAATATTTCAAAATTTATGCATGCATTACATTTCAATGTGAATACACCTACATGACGTTTTTTTTATGAAAATTAATTTAAAAAAATTAAAAACCTGGTTTACATATAACATGAACTTTACTAATGATTTTCCTGGTGATGTTTTAATTTCTGGTAGCTCATCTTTGACACAGGAAGCTGATGCCACCAGCTACTTTAATAACAAAGCTATGAACACTTTCAGCAGCAACTGGTCCAGACAGTGAGTATGTATCGACACTGATGACAGCAACTGGTCCAGACAGTGAGTATGTATCGACACTGATGACAGCAACTGGTCCAGACAGTGAGGATGTATTGACACTGATGACAGCAACTAGTCCAGATAGTGAGTATGTATCGACACTGATGACAGCAACTAGTCCAGACAGCGAGGATGTATCGACACTGATGACAGATTTAGACACAGCAACTAGTCCAGATAGTGAGTATGTATCGACACTGATGACAGCAACTAGTCCAGACAGTGAGGATGTATTGACACTGATGACAGATTTAGACACAGCAACTAGTCCAGATAGTGAGTATGTATCGACACTGATGACAGCAACTAGTCCAGACAGCGAGGATGTATCGACACTGATGACAGATTTAGACACAGCAACTAGTCCAGATAGTGAGTATGTATCGACACTGATGACAGCAACTGGTCCAGACAGTGAGTATGTATCGACACTGATGACAGCAACTAGTCCAGATAGTGAGGATGTATCGACACTGATGACAGCAACTAGTCCAGACAGTGAGTATGTATCGACACTGATGACAGCAACTGGTCCAGACAGTGAGGATGTATCGACACTGATGACAGATTTAGACACAGCAACTAGTCCAGATAGTGAGTATGTATCGACACTGATGACAGCAACTAGTCCAGACAGTGAGGATGTATCGACACTGATGACAGCAACTAGTCCAGACAGTGAGTATGTATCGACACTGATGACAGCAACTGGTCCAGACAGTGAGTATGTATCGACACTGATTACAGCAACTAGTCCAGACAGTGAGTATGTATCGACACTGATGACAGCAACTAGTCCAGATAGTGAGGATTTATCGACACTGATGACAGCAACTAGTCCAGACAGTGAGTATGTATCGACACTGATGACAGCAACTGGTCCAGACAGTGAGGATGTATCGACACTGATGACAGATTTAGACACAGCAACTAGTCCAGACAGTGAGTATGTATCGACACTGATGACAGATTTAGACACAGCAACTAGTCCAGACAGTGAGTATGTATCGACACTGATGACAGATTTAGACACAGCAACTAGTCCAGACAGTGAGGATGTATCGACACTGATGACAGCAACTGGTCCAGACAGTGAGTATGTATCGACACTGATGACAGCAACTGGTCCAGACAGTGAGTATGTATCGACACTGATGACAGCAACTGGTCCAGACAGTGAGTATGTATCGACACTGATGACAGCAACTAGTCCAGACAGTGAGTATGTATCGACACTGATGACAGATTTAGACACAGCAACTGGTCCAGACAGTGAGGATGTATCGACACTGATGACAGATTTAGACACAGCAACTAGTCCAGACAGTGAGTATGTATCGACACTGATGACAGATTTAGACACAGCAACTAGTCCAGACAGTGAGTATGTATCGACACTGATGACAGATTTAGACACAGCAACTAGTCCAGACAGTGAGGATGTATCGACACTGATGACAGATTTAGACACAGCAACTGGTCCAGACAGTGAGTATGTATCGACACTGATGACAGATTTAGACACAGCAACTAGTCCAGACAGTGAGGATGTATCGACACTGATGACAGCAACTAGTCCAGACAGTGAGTATGTATCGACACTGATGACAGCAACTGGTCCAGACAGTGAGTATGTATCGACACTGATGACAGATTTAGACACAGCAACTGGTCCAGACAGTGAGGATGTATCGACACTGATGACAGCAACTAGTCCAGACAGTGAGGATGTATCGACACTGATGACAGCAACTAGTCCAGACAGTGAGTATGTATCGACACTGATGACAGCAACTGGTCCAGACAGTGAGTATGTATCGACACTGATGACAGATTTAGACACAGCAACTAGTCCAGACAGTGAGTATGTATCGACACTGATGACAGATTTAGACACAGCAACTAGTCCAGACAGTGAGGATGTATCGACACTGATGACAGATTTAGACACAGCAACTAGTCCAGACAGTGAGGATGTATCGACACTGATGACAGATTTAGACACAGCAACTAGTCCAGATAGTGAGTATGTATCGACACTGATGACAGATTTAGACACAGCAACTGGTCCAGACAGTGAGGATGTATCGACACTGATGACAGCAACTAGTCCAGACAGTGAGGATGTATCGACACTGATGACAGATTTAGACACAGCAACTGGTCCAGACAGTGAGGATGTATCGACACTGATGACAGCAACTAGTCCAGACAGTGAGGATGTATCGACACTGATGACAGCAACTGGTCCAGACAGTGAGGATGTATCGACACTGATGACAGCAACTAGTCCAGACAGTGAGGATGTATCGACACTGATGACAGCAACTGGTCCAGACAGTGAGTATGTATCGACACTGATGACAGATTTAGACACAGCAACTGGTCCAGACAGTGAGGATGTATCGACACTGATGACAGCAACTAGTCCAGACAGTGAGGATGTATCGACACTGATGACAGCAACTAGTCCAGACAGTGAGGATGTATCGACACTGATGACAGCAACTAGTCCAGACAGTGAGTATGTATCGACACTGATGACAGATTTAGACACAGCAACTAGTCCAGACAGTGAGGATGTATCGACACTGATGACAGATTTAGACACAGCAACTGGTCCAGACAGTGAGTATGTATCGACACTGATGACAGATTTAGACACAGCAACTAGTCCAGACAGTGAGGATGTATCGACACTGATGACAGCAACTAGTCCAGACAGTGAGTATGTATCGACACTGATGACAGCAACTGGTCCAGACAGTGAGTATGTATCGACACTGATGACAGATTTAGACACAGCAACTGGTCCAGACAGTGAGGATGTATCGACACTGATGACAGCAACTAGTCCAGACAGTGAGGATGTATCGACACTGATGACAGCAACTAGTCCAGACAGTGAGTATGTATCGACACTGATGACAGCAACTGGTCCAGACAGTGAGTATGTATCGACACTGATGACAGATTTAGACACAGCAACTAGTCCAGACAGTGAGTATGTATCGACACTGATGACAGATTTAGACACAGCAACTAGTCCAGACAGTGAGGATGTATCGACACTGATGACAGATTTAGACACAGCAACTAGTCCAGACAGTGAGGATGTATCGACACTGATGACAGATTTAGACACAGCAACTAGTCCAGATAGTGAGTATGTATCGACACTGATGACAGATTTAGACACAGCAACTGGTCCAGACAGTGAGGATGTATCGACACTGATGACAGCAACTAGTCCAGACAGTGAGGATGTATCGACACTGATGACAGATTTAGACACAGCAACTGGTCCAGACAGTGAGGATGTATCGACACTGATGACAGCAACTAGTCCAGACAGTGAGGATGTATCGACACTGATGACAGCAACTGGTCCAGACAGTGAGGATGTATCGACACTGATGACAGCAACTAGTCCAGACAGTGAGGATGTATCGACACTGATGACAGCAACTGGTCCAGACAGTGAGTATGTATCGACACTGATGACAGATTTAGACACAGCAACTGGTCCAGACAGTGAGGATGTATCGACACTGATGACAGCAACTAGTCCAGACAGTGAGGATGTATCGACACTGATGACAGCAACTGGTCCAGACAGTGAGTATGTATCGACACTGATGACAGATTTAGACACAGCAACTAGTCCAGACAGTGAGTATGTATCGACACTGATGACAGATTTAGACACAGCAACTAGTCCAGACAGTGAGGATGTATCGACACTGATGACAGATTTAGACACAGCAACTGGTCCAGACAGTGAGTATGTATCGACACTGATGACAGATTTAGACACAGCAACTAGTCCAGACAGTGAGGATGTATCGACACTGATGACAGCAACTAGTCCAGACAGTGAGTATGTATCGACACTGATGACAGCAACTGGTCCAGACAGTGAGTATGTATCGACACTGATGACAGATTTAGACACAGCAACTGGTCCAGACAGTGAGGATGTATCGACACTGATGACAGCAACTAGTCCAGACAGTGAGGATGTATCGACACTGATGACAGCAACTAGTCCAGACAGTGAGTATGTATCGACACTGATGACAGCAACTGGTCCAGACAGTGAGTATGTATCGACACTGATGACAGATTTAGACACAGCAACTAGTCCAGACAGTGAGTATGTATCGACACTGATGACAGATTTAGACACAGCAACTAGTCCAGACAGTGAGGATGTATCGACACTGATGACAGATTTAGACACAGCAACTAGTCCAGACAGTGAGGATGTATCGACACTGATGACAGATTTAGACACAGCAACTAGTCCAGATAGTGAGTATGTATCGACACTGATGACAGATTTAGACACAGCAACTGGTCCAGACAGTGAGGATGTATCGACACTGATGACAGCAACTAGTCCAGACAGTGAGGATGTATCGACACTGATGACAGATTTAGACACAGCAACTGGTCCAGACAGTGAGGATGTATCGACACTGATGACAGCAACTAGTCCAGACAGTGAGGATGTATCGACACTGATGACAGCAACTGGTCCAGACAGTGAGGATGTATCGACACTGATGACAGCAACTAGTCCAGACAGTGAGGATGTATCGACACTGATGACAGCAACTGGTCCAGACAGTGAGTATGTATCGACACTGATGACAGATTTAGACACAGCAACTGGTCCAGACAGTGAGGATGTATCGACACTGATGACAGCAACTAGTCCAGACAGTGAGGATGTATCGACACTGATGACAGCAACTAGTCCAGACAGTGAGGATGTATCGACACTGATGACAGCAACTAGTCCAGACAGTGAGTATGTATCGACACTGATGACAGCAACTGGTCCAGACAGTGAGTATGTATCGACACTGATGACAGATTTAGACACAGCAACTAGTCCAGACAGTGAGGATGTATCGACACTGATGACAGCAACTAGTCCAGACAGTGAGGATGTATCGACACTGATGACAGATTTAGACACAGCAACTAGTCCAGACAGTGAGGATGTATCGACACTGATGACAGATTTAGACACAGCAACTAGTCCAGACAGTGAGGATGTATCGACACTGATGACAGCAACTGGTCCAGACAGTGAGGATGTATCGACACTGATGACAGCAACTAGTCCAGACAGTGAGGATGTATCGACACTGATGACAGCAACTAGTCCAGACAGTGAGTATGTATCGACACTGATGACAGCAACTAGTCCAGACAGTGAGTATGTATCGACACTGATGACAGATTTAGACACAGCAACTGGTCCAGACAGTGAGGATGTATCGACACTGATGACAGCAACTGGTCCAGACAGTGAGTATGTATCGACACTGATGACAGATTTAGACACAGCAACTGGTCCA